TGGAGGTGGAATTCCTTGGAGAAGGAGGAGTTGCTTCATGGGGGTTCCGGTCATTTCCTGGGGGGTTGGAGGTGGACAGTTTGATTTTCACACCCTTTCAGTGCCTGGAATTGCCTGATCCAAGGATTTTTCCCCTGGTTTAGCCCAAGAGAAGAGGCTTCCGGAGCCGCTCCGGGGGCCGCTCCGAGGGAGAAGGGGGTCGGAAGCGGAAGCAATCCCAGAGCGGGGACGATCCCGAGGCCAAACAGCCCCGGACCGACAGCGAGGGCGACGACTCCGACAACGGTACGGCCCCAAATCCACCCTTTTCCCGGGATTTCAGGGGGTTTTCCTGCCTCTCCAAGAGTTTTATCCCATTCTGGAGCCGCTTCTCCCCCGCCCTGAATTCCTGAATTTCCTTTTTCCCGCAGCGGACGAGGGAGAAGGGGAGGAAAAATCCGGGGATGAAGGTGACAAAGGTGTAAGTAACTCCAGCATCCATCCATCCATCCCCAGGGAAAATGTGGGAATGTGGCAGCTGCTCTGGGGGTTGGGATAGCGAAAATTCCCAAGAAATAGTGTTTGGAGCCCTTTTATCGTGGAAGGATTTGCTCCTTGGAATTCCCACGGGAATCACGGGTGGATTTGCTGCACTGAGGGGGCTGGAAAGCTCTTGGAGTGGGAAAGTTGGGATCCTGGAGTGGGAAAGTTGGGATCCTGGAGAGGGAAAGTTGGGATCCTGGAGTGGGAAATCCTGGAATTTGGATCCTGGGGGCAGTTTTGGGCTCTGCAGGTGCAGGACATGGAGGGGCTGGGGGAGGTTTGAATTGGATATCCGGGAAAATTCCTTCCTGGAAAGGGTTGGAAGGGGCTGCCCAGGGCAGGGCTGGAATCACATCCCGGGAAGTGCCCAAAAAACATCGGGATGTGTCCCTTGGGGGCTGGAATCACGGCTCAGGGATGACCTTGGAATTGCTGGGTTGGGCTGGATGATCCCAAAGGTCTTTTCCAACCTGAACAATTCCACGATTCCACGCCGTGGATCCCTAATCCGAGTGTTTTATCCCCATCCCTAAAAACCAGGGACATCAAATCCCAAAAGGCACCTGAGAATTCCCAAAATAAATAACTCCAGTGTCTCTTTGTGCTTCTGTTTTCCAGGAGAACCGGAACGGGGGGGATTGGGAGCAGCCGGGGGGGGGTTTCCCCCCATTCCTGGGATCCTCTGGAATGATCCCGCTCCGGCTCCATCCGCTTCCCGTCGGGATCCACCACGAGCTCCCGTCACCCATCCGGGTGCTGCCCATTCCTGGCACCTGGAATTGCCTCCCTGGAGAAGCAGGAAGTGCCCAAACCACGTGGGATGTTTCCCACGGCATTCCTTGGATTTCCCTGCTTGGAAAACACATCCGGGCAGAGGAAAAACATCCTGATCCAAGGGATTTTCCATGGGAGCTTCAGCCCCCCCCCCCCCCCGGGATCCCCCTGCTTTGCTTCATTCCTTTAATTAGGTGGGAATTCAGGTGGATCAAACAATCCAAGGAATTATTCCAGGGAAAGGCAGCTTTAGGATAATTGGATAATTGGGAATTATCCAATTATCCACCTCCCAACTCGGAGCTTTCTGCCCTAAAACGGGGCAGAGTTTTGGTCTTTTCCTTCTTTTTTTGCTTTCCTGATAATTCTTAAGGAATTATTAGAGGTTGATCCAGGAATTCCCAAGGAATTCTTGGGATTGTGACACGAGGAATAGATCCCAAACTGTCCCCAGGGAAGCAGAACCGCCCCAGCTCCGGGATTTTTGCTTTCCCGATAATTCTCAGGGGATTATTAGAGGTTTCTCCAGGAATTCCCAAGGAATTGTTGGGATTGTGAGGTGAGGAACAGATCCCAAACCATCCCCAGGGAAGCAGAACCGCCCGAGCTCCGGGATTTTTGCTTTCCTGATAATTCTCAGGGAATTCTTAGAGGTTTCTCCAGAATTCCCAAGGAATTCTTGGGATTGTGACTTGAGGAACAGATCCCAAACCATCCCCAGGGAAGCAGAAGCGCCCGAGCTCCGGGATTTTTGCTTTCCCGATAATTCTCAAGGAATTCTTAGAGGTTTCTCCAGGAATTCTCAAGGAATTATTAGAGGTTTCTCCGGGAATTCCCAAGGAATTCTTGGGATTGTGACTTGAGGAACAGATCCCAAACCATCCCCAGGGAAGCAGAACCGCCTGAGCTCCGGGATCTCCCGGGATTTGCGGCTTTTTCAGCCTCGGGAAAAAAACAGGGAAAAAAAAATAGGAATTTGGGGCAGAAAGCAGCAAATTCCATCAAGGAGAGGAGATGGAAGTGTCTGGAAAAGTCATTCCAGACTTCCCATTCTCCCTGTCCTGGTTTGGGAGTCGATGACTCCTGGAGACCTCGGGATGAGGTCGGAACTTGGGAGAGATTCCGGAGCCCAACAGAAGTTGAGGGCAAAGAGATTCCCCCAAATTCCAAGGGCTTTGGGCCCCGAAATCCCGGGAATAACCGGGATTGATTCCCGCAGCCTCCGGGGACGGTGGCGAGGACGACGACGAGGAGGTGAAGAAGAAGAGGGAGAAGCAGCGGAGGAGGGATCGGATGCGGGATCGGGCCATGGACAGGTGAGCACTGGGAGCAGCCAGGGTGGGAATTTCTGGGAATAACATGGATTCTCCTGCACCAGAGGGGGGAAAATCCGCCAAATGTCGCGTTTTGGGGCCGAGCGTCGGGATTTCGGGAGGGTTTTCCTGGTTTTTGTGTGTTTGGGATGAGGAGGCACCAAGGGGGTGGAAACGTGGACAGGAAGGGAATTAAGGATGGAATAACCAGCATTCCCGGATCCTGGAATGGCTGTGAAATGATCCAGGAAGGGAATTAAAGATGGAATAACCAGCATTCCTGACTGGAATGGATCCAGGAAGGGAATTAAGGATGGAATAACCAGCATTCCTGTGGACTGGAATTCCAGGATCCAGTTCTCCTGTTCCTCATTCCCACTGTAATTGCAGGATCCAGTTCCTCATTCCCACTGTTATTCCAGGATCCAGTTCTCC